ATGTTAGAAGTCTGATCCATAGAACGTGGTTGGTCAGTTTAGCCAAGATGGTATTGGCTGAAAGACTCATGTAAAAGTTCGTTATCAGTCATTGGTGGGTTTTAATCCCTCTATTGTTAGTCAAATTGGTCGGTTTCGTTTCCGTCATGGATAAGTCATCTGTAAGGCACCGGTAGTCATTGACATCTGTTAAGAGGCATTTGTTCTAGGTTAGTGTACCAGCTCTCCAGGGTCAGTCGTTGAAAATAGTTTGTACTGTAGGTTAGGCACTGAACAGAGTCCCAGTCAATGTTGTGGTTTGTCAGTTGATGATGTACAGCAATGTGATTGTTGGCATCACCATGTCTCATAGCTCGTTTGTGTTCAGTCAGTCTCGTGTTAAGGTTTCTGCCATTCTCACCAATGTAGGAAGCCTGGCAGTCGGAGTATTTGATCTTGTAAACTGCTACCTGTCTGTTGTTAGGTTTGTCCCTGTCTTTAACGTTGGTCGGTAAGTGTCGTAACGTAGTTGTAGGTTTGTGGGCTACACAGATGTTGTAGGGCTGTAGGATCCATGAGATGGTCTCAGAACTGCCCTTAATGAGTCACTGTGGTAACAGGTGTTGGGTTCCTGTTTGTTGTGTCAGCTTCAGTAGGTCGGTAAATATTTCGTCTAATAAAGTCAGTGTTGTAGTTGTTTTTGTGAAAAACATGTTCAAGGTATCTGTTTCCATCACGTAGGCTGTCTGGTGTGTCACAAACTAGTTGCGCTCGTCTCATCAAAGTCGTTATAGTCGTGGCTTTGTGAAGTCGGGTTGTGGGATGATTTGTCATGTAATCTGTCGGTATGCGTCAGTTTTCTGTACACTGTCGTTCACAGTTCGTTGTTGTTGCGGCTTACCAAACAGTCTAGAAAAGGAAGTTTTCCATTTTCTTCAATCTCTTTACTAAACTGGATGTCTGCATTCTGTTTGTTTAGGTGGTTGTGAAAATTGTCAATTTCTTCTTTGTGAATGGCGGTTAAGAGTAAATGTCAGTAAAAATCAAACATTATCGAAAAATCGCGGACATGGTCAAAAATCGATTTGGCTCATTTTTTGTCTGTAGGTAGCCTTATATAGTAAACAAACAGAAATGGGGTTAGATGTTTGAAATATGCACTTTGACGGGAATAAACCGTTTGAAACTTTTGGCAGGTCAATTGCTTAAATTTCACCAAGCGCGATCCTGAAATTATGCACTTTTCAGACAGTTGTCATATGAACAAAAATGTAACAGAAGGACTTTTCTAGCTATAGAAATATAGAGTTGGACTTGTTTTATCGAGACAAAGTGATAGTTTTTGTCTGGTGTTATTCCTGGAGGAGCTATGTCTCTGTTAAGAGACGACATCTTCGGCCTTTTGAAATTAAGGCAAAGGTGGCCTAGAATAGCTTGGCAAAAATACATGTGGTGGTGCCTCAAAGTTTACAATAACACTACCAAGAAGCCTTGAAAGATAGTTCTTTACGATTTGGATTTTACTTCTTTGGGACCTTTGACTATCAAAAGATGAGCACCGGCGGTATTTCGGTTAAATAGTATGACACCATAATGAGATGCATAATAACAAAATTAAACGCGTTGTACACAAATAACTGTTTTGGTCAGTTATATCTTCACTGGCTGTTGAAATGACTAGAAACATATTAAAATGTCTATAACTGCACTTGATTTTCATATACTGAGACAGGAGAAACAAATTTCGACTTTTCCTATCCAATGAATCGTGCCATAATTCTGCATAATTCTGCACACAACAGGTTGAACATTTGAATTGCACACAACAGGTTAAATTTGCCACACAGCCGTTAGTTTATGTTTGCTTCCCATCCAGTGAACATGAATTCCACAAGCAGTGGCGAGCTCGAGTGACTGAAATGCGATATGTAGGACTCTGCTGTCACGCAACACCTCCTGTAAATTATACACGCACCGCCGATCAGCTATTCGTGAAACGTACAGTGCTCAGTTGCTTGGAAGGGCAGGTACACTCCTGACTAATTGTGTGAGTCTTGCGATGTATGGCTTTTTCCTCATCCGAGGTTAAATGTCAGAAATATCCAGCCCAAGGTCGATGCACATGTCTCTTAGCCTATCCGCTCTTAAAGTTGTGAGTGTACGTCTTTGTACAAGTTCGCAGACGTTAAGGTTGAAAAATACAATCGGATGCTGAATAGCCACATCTCTCATCACACAGCACATAGATGACTCTCAGCTTCGGTGGAAATTTCGTCCTTGTCAGCACTCTCCATGGCCACTTCTGAGACTTCACTAGCTTTTGCTTTGTTACCGTCGGTTGTAACTTCTAATTGCTTCTTTGCTGAAAGACGGCTAAAGAAGCCACTAATCTGCTGCGACGTAAGGACTTCATCAGGTTGAAATTGGCGTTCCCCCGCTTGATCTCTTGCTAAGCTCATTGCTTTCGAAACTTCCTGTGGATCGCTTTTCCGTCCACTTTGCTCCCCTTTTTGAAATTGGTCANAGACTTCACTAGCTTTTGCTTCGTTACCGGCGGCTGTAACTTCTATTCGCTTCTTTGCTGATAGACGGCTAAAGAAGCCACTACTCTGCTGCAACGTAAAGACTTCATCAGGTTGAAATCGGCGTTCCCCCGCTTGGTCTCTTGCTAAGCTCATTGCTTTCAAAAATTCCTGTGGATCGCTTTTCCGTCCACTTTGCTCCCCTTTTTGAAATTGGTCAGTTAAGAATTCGGACTGTTTCTTTAGGGCCCAACCCATTGGAAGAGGCGGCAAGGCATCACTCTTTGCTTGGACAGTAACTTGAATGCTTGGAATTCGACTGCATCCCTCTGTCAGCTTGGAAGAATATTCTCTTTTAGCTCTATCGTAGAGAGTTTCCTGTTCGAGCATCATTTGGTGTTTTCCAGTATCTAGGTGTGTCTGGAGGTTTGCAAAGCGACTGTATGCTTTTACACATCCATCCTCTGGACATGGGAAAAGCATGTCATCTGGCTTATTTTGACCAATACTGCTTTGATCTTGGTTTTCGTTTTCAGTTGAGAAATCTGCTCTGACAGAGCTTTTCTTGATATGTCGATGTCTCACAATCTTGAACGGCGGTGCGCTACTTACATTCTGCGATGGGGGTTCTAGGATTTCCAATTTTTCGGGCTGCTCCATGACTCCTTCGAACTTTGCCCATGGCACTTCTTTACCGAAACCCACATTGAATGCTCTCCACACTCGTACGCCAGTTTCATCGTACTCAAAATTGTTGAGTAAGCTTATGCCATCCCAGTTGATATTAAAGGTGCTTGACAGCTTGGCAGCAACATAGCTTGCATTCACTCCTGTGGTTCCTTGGCCAGACTCAATGGCTGTTTTGAGCTGTAAAGCGTTGATGACATCATAGCCTTCGTTTACGTACCTTCCAATGTCTCCTTTGATTGTTGCTGCTTTGCGATCACATATCCCCTTTCCACCTTGAGGGTCCGAGAAGTCGTTTCTTAATACAGCCACTCCTACGGCATCATCGGCCAGCTTAGCTGAGATGATTGAATTTCCACTGTGATAACAGCCAGCGTTATCTTGTTTGTAATAAGCCATTTCCAGGTCTGGAATTTCCTTTTTCAGGGTAGTGAGGCAGTCAAGCATTATCGAAGCCACAGTCACACCATCTTGGGCGCAGCTTTGAAATACGTGAACAAGTGTCTGCGATTCAAAGTGCTCAGAACCCTGTGACCGTCTTATGGCAACGCTAATGTGCCATGGTAATCCTCGCTTCGCAAACCAATCTGACTGTGCCTCTCGATATTTTCGGGGCATATATTTTATTGCCCAGTCCTGGACTAACAGCACCGATGGGCTGTCGAGTTTGGCTAAAACTGAATGCTTTGCTTCAGCCTGGTGGACTGAATGTAGCTCATGGGCTTTCCAGCTAATGATATCATCCCTTGCCTGTTTGATAGTATGCAGCATGTCAGCTTGATCTTCTGCTGACGAGAGCGCAATTGAACACTCATCTTCTATGGTACGCATGACTTCCTCTAACTCATAACACTGCACACGACTCATTGTGGAGATGGTCGCAGGAGCCCCGAAATTCTACATTGCTTGGATCACTTAGCACATAAATTCGACAATGATCGGGAACCTCAGAGGACTCCACTGCATGTACCTATAAAAAAAAAAGTAAAATGACAAGCTTGTCGTCAAGTTTCTCTAAATGATCAAATGCTTCCGCTCCTTGTGCTGAAAAGTTGTCAAGTCCTTGCAGAGACTTGCGAACAGATGAAGAACACACGGCCAAAACTCTCTGTAGGGTTCTCTTACTCATAGGATCAAAGTTGGTTTCACAGCAGTATTGTTGATACTGCTGGACAATGCGCTCTGGTTTTTCCCCAAAAGGAACATCTTGAATTACGTGTGGACTCGTTATGAAAGAAACAAAATGTTCTAATTTTACAGGTTCAATCCTGATTCTCTTTTTCTCCTGGTTTGGAAGAGGAGCAGCTCTTCCATGTAACAGCCTGTGGCGTCGGGCAATCTTGTAGCATAGCTAGTAACGGTTGGAATAAACTCTCTCATCTCCTTAAGGGATAACTTATCTGCCATCAAAGAGAGTATTTGTCGTCTGGTGCTCCAATGTTGCACGTTCAAGTAGCTCTCAGCAAATGCACTAAGAAGCTCCATCTCTTTTTCGCTTCTGCCTTCGACCACAACCTGACTCTCTCTGCTTACAGCATGACGATCACAAAGCTCTGTCCACAGTTCTTGCGAATTTTCAGGTGCCAGGACATCAAGCATTGCAGATATACATTGTTGAGCTTTCCGTAGGTATCTGCGTTTAGTACGCTCGTGCGCTGTATTCCGCGGCACTGATAACGTGTGACGTACTGGACTGACGTCTCGAAGCTGTAAGAAGCGATTAAGCTACACCTGGGACTCGTTGTCTAGACTGGAGCTTTCATCACTCTCTTCGGAATCTTCTTGCGGAAAAAAAGGCTCTGCCGTCTGGATGTGGAATCTTCTGGCAGTGATTCATCACCAACAGTTACAGGACAAGTAATGGCAGGAATATCGAAGTAACTCGCTTGTTCATCAACCTGACAAAAAAGTGAACACATTGCTTTGGATGGCTTCAAAATGAGATCAACCGTGTGCAAGCGCGGGGTGTCGTGTATAAAAGCACAAGTCGCAAGCGAGCTGGAAAGCAATATTTGATAATTAATTTAATTGACTGGTAACCTATCCTGATATCTTTATCCAGTTACTACTCAGTATTATTTCCATTTGGAGCATTTAGAAAAAAAGTTGAGAAGCCATATATTAATTTAAAACCTTTATTATTTGGTTATATTCTGGGATGTGATTGGCTATCCGGGCAGGGCACGCTTTTCCAATTCTTGTGCCATGTATGGTCTTGCCCAGTCGTTGACGGGCGGCAATGGCGGTGTTTTGAGGATGTGCATGCAAGTTATCCTGGACACGCCCTTCTCACACATGGGTTGAACCCCAGAAAAATGCGGAGAAGGGAGAATTCAGAGAATGCGTTAAGGTTTTCCACTTTCATTAACTATATTGGATTGAATATTTTCATAAACACTTTGAAGAAACTCACCAAGCATAGACCACATAGACCTTCTGTGTTGTTTTCCACACCTCCTGTGGCACCCAAGTCCTGCGATTCTAACTGATTTTTTGTTTTTGCCAGAGACTGTCGACATCGTACACAAATTCCTTTAATATTTGGAGACAAAGGATTAATTTATTCTTTTCTACTTTACACATCCCCCTTGAACAAATAGCTCTGAATGTGGCAAAAGAACAAACCTAGCCCAGGAAAAAAGCCCCACAAACCTTAAATTGATTACGCAATCTGTATTTTACCTTGTCACAAGTCAGTCTTTTACGTTCCTTTCCTTTTTTCCGA